CGGCTGCACAACGAAGGGGCGGAGTGTTGCGGGGGATGAACCCGACAGCGAGAGCATGCCAGGTGCATGCGAATGGTGGTGGAGAGGGTGATGGCAGAGAGGCAAGCGAAGCGCAGCGGGGGTGGGGCTGCTTGCGCTATACTTGGTGAAAGCGGGCTAGGAGAGATCGTAGTAGGAAGGAACGGATAAACCCGGACGAGGGGGCACGCCGGGTGCATATGAAGGGAAGCAATGCGCAGTGAATGAAGGCAACGGGTAGAAACAGGCGAACGGGCGGAGTTGCAGTGGAGAACGGATCTGGGCAGGATCCGGGGTTGGATGCGCGCGAGGCAAGAGAGACAGCCGGGAGGAGGTGAGAAGGGGGCTGAATCCGGGCGTGTTTTTGCGCCGGATCCATTCGAAGAAAAGGGGGTCATGGCGAAAGCTTAATATGCTCGTTTCTTAACGGAAACGAGCGGGGAAAGATGTTGGGTAGGGGTTTAGGGACTGGACGAACAAGTTTACGGGGTTAGTTTTAGTGCTGGATTAGTGTAGAGGGAGGTTAGTACAGAAAAGCCTGCGCAGTGGCTATGGGGGAGCAATGAGAGAGAGCAAAGAACTCGCTCGTCTCAGGATGAGAACGAACGGGGGGGAGGAGGAGGCGTTTTGGAGGGTCCGGAGGGGATTTTTGAGTCCCGCGACTACGATGGCGAAGGCGGATTTGAAGAAGGGGCTAGGGTCTCAATGATACGGTGTGCAGAGGCAGTGGGAGAGGAGGTGGCGATGTATCCTTCTGTATTCTAGCGGAAGATTCATTCGGCGCTGCTCACCCTATCGGTTAAGTAGCGTGTGGACAGAGGTAGAGTTCGGGGACTTACCTGGTTCCTGGTATGTTGCCGTCGCATTCACAGAGAGGAGGCGAGCGGTTTCCCATTGCGAGTACTACAGTGTGAACCTTCCGGGGTTCAGGCGGTATGTTCATTCGCCTCTGCTCGTTCTGTCGGGCAGCAACGGATAACAGCCACAGGGCCTGCAACTCGCCTGTGGTGGCAGCCAATGCCTTTCGCTGCCACAACTGGACTAGGGTGGCCGCACGGACGTGACCAGGGCAGCAGAA